CTGTTAAAATGATACACGCTGATGAAGTTGCCTCTCAACCGGAAAATAAAAGCTCCAAAGAAAAAGTTACAAGCCAACAACAACAAAGAAAGAAACTAGGGAAAAGGGGACAGCGGGCTGGTGAGGAGGAAGGACTTAAAAATGAGAAAAGGGCAGATGTTTCATAAATATATGCAAAGCAAATCTGGGTGTGCCCTGAACACTTCCATAGAGAAACAGACCAATCACGGCACACTTCCTCCCACCTCACTGGTGGAGCTCTGCATTCAAGAAAAACAAAACAAGGAAAGAGAAAGGAAGAAAAAAAGAAAGAAAGAGAGAGAGAGAGAAAGAAAGGGGCTACAGGCACCCGCCTTTCAATAGTCGGCGTTCATATCCTGACTGAACATCTCCCGGTTGTTTGAAGAGGACAAATACATTTTCCTCTCCCCACTACAAACATTTCTGGTATGAGAATAAACGCTGCTGCAAGAACTGGGAAAGTATTTTAAGGTGACTGGTAGCTAAGTGAGCTAGCAGAAGCTTTAGGTTTCTACCTTTCCTTGTAGCGGCCCTGGCACCAAGTTTCGGGCTGAAACATAGCAGTGAGTAACACTGTAGAGGATGTTGGCTCCTTCCGTACGAGACCATATTGTATGGGGAAAGAAATATGCATTAAAACATATGGATATGACGGTAGGTATTAAGCATGTTAAATGCATGGAAATTAACCAGATCGGTGGCATTTGATGTATATATTTCGCACTCCTTTGCACATATTGTACACACACAGTGATGGCAATGCCTTCTGTAACATATGGAAAAATAAATATTTTGTCTGTGTGAGCTCTTATCAGTCTCCAGGGTCTGCTGAGAGGAAAGTGCTCTTTTCTCTCTCCCTCTTCCAATTTTCTCCCTTCCCTGGGCTCCCACACTCCCCTGCACATTAACATGCCTTCCACTTATCAGCCTCGTTAGATAGGAAAGAATTAGTCAGAACCTCCTTTTGATAAATAATTACTCAGTCATTGGATCAGGATAATTTAGATCAGTGATGACTCTCCAGTCTTTTGAGGCTGGTAACCATCTCTCTGTTCTTCTCTATAACAGCGCATGGCAACAGGACAGTGTCTGGGCAGGGGCGAGGGGGGCTTGTGACAAATCACACAGGCAAGGGACGCTAAGGTGCGGAGCTGTGCTCCACTACCTAATCACTATGTCCCCGAGGCAGACTGCTCTGCACCTGTGAACCTTATTTGCCTCATATGTAAAATGGGAACAATAATGCCTAACCTTCTAGGGCTGTCATAAAGAATGAATGAGATGAACCATGTACAGGGTATGATCAAAACAGACAATGAATGCTCAAATTAAAAGAATAGTACAGTAAAAGATATGTTGCCATTAATCTCCCTCAAAATGTTCTCTCCTGGCTTTGAAAGACTCATCTCAGCATTCTTGCCACTTTCTGAAGCAGTTCTGGAAGTCCTCCTTCCCGAGTGTTTCTAGTTTTGCTGCTATGGTTGCCTTGATGTCCTGAATGGATGAAGAACATTTGTGTGTCATGGGCATTTTGACTCTGAGGAAGAGGCAGAAGTCTCACAGTGCTCGACTTAGTGAATAAGGTGGATAAGGAGGCACTGCAGTGCGTTTAGGAGCCTGCTTTTCCAGCGGATGGCTCTTAGCAGCGGCACTTACACATTTTTGATCTAATCTTATAAAAACATGAAAGAGAATTTACACAACGGCATCTGCTGTGACAAGAACGATGGGATAAGTATGTTTTATGTGAGTGGGGGCTGTCTGAAGAGCAGCGGTAGGGTCTTTTTACAGTAATACTTTTCTTTAAATTTAATATCACACCATAGTTTTTTTTTTTAATCCCTTTACCGATACTGGGTAAGTACTCAATAATGGTAGCTCCTTTCCTAGCATTAGTTCTGTGGTTTCTACCATATCAGCTACATAATAAGGCACTTCCTCCATCTTAGCAGTCCTTTCAATACCTAGATTTGGGCCATGAGCAAATGGATTGTTGTTGGAACAATGCAGAAAGGATGTCAGGATGAGCAATCTCTTCTTCAACACTTTGATCTTATGGTACCCCTTGCTACCCCATATGTTTTTGTGCACAAGTTTGTCACTGCTGTGGCTATTCTTAGAGCTCCTTGAAGTTCAAGGTCAAGCAAGCTAAGCTGCACTTGGCTGATGGAAGCCCATCCAGCAAACACTACAGTCTATTCACTGAAACTATCCTATAGCACTCTTGCTTATCACTTTTTCTTAGAATGTATCCTGTCGCTCCTTGTCCCAATGTTCTCAGATCAAGTTAAAACATTTTTGTGATTACTTGATTCTTTCAACTGTTTTAGCCTTTTTGGCAGAGCTGACCTACAATGTTGTTGGTATATTTCTCCCTCACTGCAGCAGTCAGGATCCTACAAGAAGGAATGGCACATGCAAAGGCTTTAAATGAAGACAGTCTAACGAAAAGACTGCAAGGAGGAGTGCAAGAGGTTAAGGCATGCCGAAGCGCCAGCACCGGCAAGCGTGGAGGGCTGTATGTCTCAGTTCTAAACCATTTAAACTCAAGGGCCAAAGGGAAGGAGGGGGCTTTCTAAATTCGGTAGAAATGAAGTAGGGAAAGGACACAGAACTAATAAAGAGCCTGACCTCTCTTTCTTCCCACTCTCACATCTTTTGCTAATGTCTCCTTTCGGCCAAATTCAAAGGGAAGCCGGAGGACAAGAGCGCCTGGGTACTGCCACACAGAGAGAGCCCCCGGGTCACACGTGAGGGTTTCGTTTGAGTGGGTGGGTTGACAACACTCATCAGCATATCTTTTATTTCCCTCTTTTATTTTTTTCATCCTTTTACACTCACTTATTACTTCCTGGAAGGTAAGAGCAACAAAAGAGAATTGATTCTCTTCTGGCTTCGATGTACCTATTCTGTCTGTTTGTCATTTATAGGGCAAGAAAACCAAATATACACTCGAGAGTGGGGATTTCTGCTTGTTTTGCTCGCTCCCGTGTCCCCAGTGCCCAGAACAGGGCCTGGAACATAGAGAGCTTCAGTTTACTGAAGAGATACACTTGTTGCTGCTGGGCCAGAACTACACGTACACTGTCTCCTTGAATTATCACAACAACCTTGGTAGGAAGGCAGGACGACTGGCTGAGCGTGGCTGTGCAGGCAGTGCGTAACGCTGACCACTCGCTCCTACTGCTACACCCAAGCCTTGACACCAGGCCCACAGCACTAGAGGGACAGGCTTTGCAGTCAGTTTATATTTTTATACTTTTTGTGCCCTATTGATTTTTGCGACTAGCCAGGCTTTGAGTTTTAATACGATTTCACTTTCAGAATACACTGATACTCTGTACAGTGAAATTCTTCCCAGGGCAGAAACGGACGGTCAGCTGTGGGCCTCCCAGCAGTTTTCCAGACACGTCAGAGCCGACTCCTGGGTCTCGATCTGGGTCCTGCGCAGTACAGGAAGGCAGGAGTAGTAAGGGCTTTCCTCTCCCGACGGACACAGAAACCTTGAACACAGTCTGCATCCCAGCATGCTGGCTGCGCTCCTTGCACCAGTACAGTCACTCTGTTTTTCAAAAAAGCTTGGAAAACTATTTTATTTTTGTAGTGCTGGGCTTTGAACTTGGCCTCACGCCTACCAGGCAAGGGCCTTACCATTGAGCTACACATCTAGGCCTCAGAAAACTACTGAGATGTGAAAGTTTCTAAGAGACTTCTTATATGCAAACGTAAGGATGAATGCTGAGATCATTCTAGTAAGCTCCTTGTGTGGGCGTGGAGGAAACTCTATTTTCGATCTTCTCTCATGTCTTTGGTCCCAGGTCCTTCAATCCTATTTGGACCCCAACACTGTGAAGTTCCGCACCCCTCACCTGGCTGAGCAGGCCTGCAATCACCTCCATGTCAAATACCGGCAATTATTACCCAGGAACCCAAAAGCATTAGAGGTAAAAAGTGACAGACAATCGAAGAGAACTCTGACTTCCTTCCTTTGGGTTTGATTTATGACAGAACAGCTGAAGATATAGAAAATATGAATGTGAAAATTCTATCTGAAGCCTAAGAGGAAAGTTAGTGTCCCAGGTTTAGCACTTTCCAGTGACAGGTGATGTCTGTAAAACACCATCCCATTACCTGCCTCATACCAGATAGGAAAGTTTGTAGCTACAACAACTAGAATGAGTTTTCATTTAAAAATGTGTAATGAAGTTATTTTTCACGCACAGTTCCTAAAGCATTCAAATATTTGGCCTTTTCTAGTGAAGAAAAGCATATATCCATCTGCTAGTTTCAGCAATGAGTAATGAGTCCTCGATATCAGTCTTTCATCATTATTTCCTGTAGGGAGCTCATTGCCTCCCCCACCTTCCTTCTGTACCTTTCCTTGCAAGGATTATAGTTGCTCTACATAAATGCCTGACACGGAGAAAACTAAACCGGCTACACAGAGCCATGCATCCAGAGGGCAAAGCTGACCCGGCAGGATGGCTTAGGGCTTGGGCAGAATGAGCCCAGGGCCCCAACTGGAGGGCTTGTTCCCCCTCACACCAATGAGGCAAGAGAATGGGGGTGCAGTTCAGACAAGCAGACAGAGGCAAGCAAAGCTGGCCCACCTGTTTGATCAGAGTGACGTGAAATGACAGGCTCCCACGAGATTCAAGGGTGACACAGAGGGATGATGAGATCCAACCATCTTGGGAGGAGTTACCACCGCTCTGGGAAGCCATGCAAATGATCAGGAACTCCACCCATCCCTGCAGGGCGCACTCAGATCTAGCTTGGTGCGCAAACCAGGAAAGGCTGCATCCAAAAGACGAAGCCCTGTAAAATTCTGCCTGCTTTGACAACTGAGTGTGTGTCTGATACATTTTTTCTAATTAAACAAAGTGAACTAAGGAGCCTTTCATTGGAGGCATAGTGTACTCACAGTAGTTTCCAAATAAACGGTGTCACTCTTCAGGTAAATCACTCCAAGGCTGGGGCCTAGTGCAGATGTTCATTGGGGCAGGGAACAGAGAGCAGCTGCATCTAGCACAGAAAAAAAAAGGAAGGTTGTTTGAGTAGCAGTGATGGTGACAGCGGTAATTTACGGTGATGGAGAGGGCTCTGGGGTGCGGCTGCGAGGCTGGCTCCGCACCTTCGCGCCAGAGAGCAGGGAGCAGGGAGCAGGGGGGGGAGCAGGTCGTGGCCCAGGGCTTCCATCTGACTGTCCGTGCACTCTCAGACACGCTCAGCGCTCCTCCCGCGCAGAGGAAGTGGACTGCTGTGGCTCGGACTTGGAAACTGAGTCAGGGGTGAGGGTAGAAGAAGGACGGTGTCTTCCACCCTTACCATGGCTGGTTCTTCTGATGTCCTCCCCCACTTATTATATTTGTTTACTTATTCACTGTTAGTTGACAAAAATTGTATTAATTATTGAATAAACATTTTTTGACATCTGTATACATTGTATAATGGCGAACTTAATGAATATACACATTATCTCATCTTTTTTTATTGTGAGAATTCTTAAAATCTATTCTGAGCAATTTTCTTTTTTTCTTTTTGGTACTGGGAATCAAACTCAGGACCTCATGCTTGCCAGGCAGGCGCTGTGCCACTGAGCTATATCCCCGGCACCTCTGAGCAATTTTCAAGTGTATAGTATTTTGTAAACTAGTCATCTACAGTCATTATGATATATAGTAGATTTTGAACTTATTCCTTCTGTCTAGCTGAAATTTTATATTCTTTGACCAACATCTCTCCAGCTTCAGAGAACCATTTTTTTTTTTTTTTTTTTTTTTTTTTTTTGAGACAGGGTCTCACTGTGCAGTTTAGGCTTGCCTTGAGCTCACTTTGTAGCCCAGGGTGGCCTCAAACTTGCAATGATCCTCCTGCCTCAGCCTCCCGAGTGCTGGGATTACAGGCGTGCACCACCATGCCCAGCCTGATAGCCATTTTATTCTCTGCTTCTAATAGTTCAGCTTTTTGGGGTTCTCTTTGAAAGTGACATAGTGCAATATTTCCCTTTCTGTACCTGGCTTATTTACTTAATATATCGGCATTCAGGTTTGACCACATTGTGGCAAGTGATGTGATTTCCTCCTTTTTCAAGGCTAAATAGTATTCCTCTATCTCTCTCTCTCTCTCTCTGTCTATTCCTGTCTGCCTATTTATCTATCTCACCTTTCTGATATTTTAAAAATTCTTTTCAGCCTCTCCCTCTCTATTGTGCAGTTTGCACCTAGTCTAAGCACTCACTGACCTGGCCCATTCACAGCTCTTCCCTTCTCTCCACTCTTACTCTGTTCTTTCCATGTTTTCCAGCCCCAAGGAGTCCAGCCTATGTGGCTACAGAACTACTATCTGTCTCAGAAGATCAAACTGGGTTTCTGAGGCCCTGCCCTTTTGGCCACGCTGAGTTCCTGAAACTTGCCTTCCTTGGCTTGATCCTTCTCTCCTCCTACTTTCAGTTTGCTCTTCTGCCTCCTTCCCTGCCTTGCCTTTACTTCTCCTGTGCTGTTCAAGAAGATTCTCCTCTCCGTGCCCTCCAGGACCTCCGCACGCTCTTGTCCACACAGCGCACCCCCGCTGCGGGCTGCAGCACCGGCTCATCCACACAGTGCCAGACCCACAGTCTAAGCAACAGCCGACTACGATACACGCATTCCTTTGCTCACTTAGTGTTCACACAGCATCTATTAGGCACCTGGAAAGGATGAATAATTCAGGGTCTTTAACTTCGAGGAGTTTACATCTCTATCAGATACCGGCTGTTCTAAGTCAGAAAAATTAAAACAGAACTTATTGATTCCCTTCAAAGCCTGTTCTTTCTTCAAACTTCCTGTTTCCTGCCACGAGTACCATCTTCATCCAGTTCCCTGACCTGAGGTGTCATTTGTAACCCTTTCCATTAATTAACTGATTTGCCTTCTATATCCACGCAGCCACCAAATCTTGTGTTTTCCCTCTAGCTGTGGTTTTTGAATAAATACTTATTTTCCATATTCAACACATACTTATCCCTTTGCCTCCTACTGCCAAGACTTCTGTGGAACTATCCAAACTGCTCTCGCTTCTAGCTCTTTCTTACCCTTAGACCATCCTCCCCATCCACATGTTGATTCTCAAAAGTAACAGTCTAAGCACATTCCTCCTATGGTCAAAATCTTCTTTGCTCACTAGGTTGAATTAGACTTCTACGTTTGGCCTTCGGTGTTGCTATGATATGGTCCCAATCGAATTTTCCATTCCATTCCATTTCATTTTGTTTTATTATTTTATTTTGAGACAAGGTCTTGCTAAGTTGCTCAAACTGAGCTCCAACTTACGGTCCTTCCGTGGCAGCATCCCTGAGGGCTGGGATCGCAAGCACCGGCCCCTATGCCTGGCTTGAACTTCCCTTTCGTACCTCCGCATCCATCCATTCCACACTCCAGCATGAGCCTGCTCTGGCCCACAATGTGCATGGCATCGTCTCCCGTTTTCCAGTGTCTACACATAGCTTCTTGATGGCCATCTAATGCCACCTCATTTAGAAAGCATTTCACCAAGGGAAGTGTCCTTCTTGAATTCTGAAGAGCGTATTTATATTGTCCCCTTTGTATTTCATGTCAGCTTTAATAAGCATTTGTGTAGCTGGTCTTCCTTCTCCATAAGCTCCTTGAAAGCAGAGACGAGTTTTACTCTGTACACGTTGGAGCACAGAAAGCAGTTCCCCAAAGAGAAGGTCTCAGAAGCAGCTTCAGAAGCAGTTTCTGACTGCATTCTGCCTTCCCTCTCCTGTTCCTTTCTCTCCCTGAGATAAGTCACAGAAACTCGAATTTGTCTTCCCCAAGGCTAGTCATGGAAACTAGAATCCCTTCCCCAAAAGCAACCCATGTAGTTCAAAAGTATTTCTGTAATCTTCTCCTGCCTTTCTGTGAAAGAGCTAGCCATAAAGAAATTCTCCAACCTACCTTGTCTGACAGTGGATCACAAGGCTACCAATTCAGAAGGGGTCCTGCCCATACCCGGGAGGTAGGAATGCTGCACGGAGACGGTCCACAAGAATCTGAACTGACAGGCCTTTCTGAGTCTCTGCACTCAGTCTATTACCTTTAGCTCAGACTTCTTCTGCCCAATCACATTTCTGCTCCATTTTCTACGCTTCTTCAAACTTAAGCGTAGAAAGGGACAGGTTACTCTGGGTCTTCAATCTGAAGGCTCTCATGTCCCATAAGATTATGATCAAATACATTTCCTATGCTTTCTTCTTCTTAACCTGTCTTTTGTTCTAGGAGTGTTGCTCATGCACCTTTATGATGGGGCGGGACAGGGATCACCACTTTTTCCGCCTCTATAGTATGGTATGAAATGCCTTGCACACAAGCTTCTGCTCAGCTGGTATCTGCTGTACTGAATTCAAAATGAAAAACTAATGCAGGAAACTGAAGATCAACAGAAACGACTTCAAAGTTTATCTGCTCTACTGGTCTCATTTTTCAGATGAAGAGATTAGAGAACTGACTCTCTCAAGGTCACGTCCATTTAGTTGCTGAGCAAGAAACTAACATAAAAGGTCATACATCCCTAAATATCTGTCAGTTCTTGCTTAGCACCAATAGGCCCATCGTACTATCAACAGGGACCAGGTGAGAGAGAGAGCGCACCTGTGTAGCCTACAGGATATACTATGTTCCAAAAACATAACAAATTTGTTTTACTTATTAGTTCATCAAACCAAATTGATAGATTTTTTTTTTTTTATAGTCCAATAATGTCTGAAAAATGTGGATGGATTTAGAAAACATGGAAGCAAATTTTCCTAACATTACGGGCAGAATGATTAGGACAATACTGCATATACCTACACTTCGGAAAAGCTGGAGATTCTACTGCAGTTCTTGGTAACAACAGGTGGCTGTAAATCAATGACCAAATCGTTACCTTATAGAAATATAGACTATTGGCAATCTTGCTAGTACGCAACTAAGAAATTAACGTTTCTTTCTCCGCCTAGCTTTGCCCAGGATTCTTGCTCTAGATTTGTTTCAATTTTCACTTATTTTTTCCTTGTTCTACTAATTTTCTTTTAGACATGTACAGACGACTTCCCCCAAGTTTGTTATTATTTTCCTGCCTTGCTTTCCTTTTGTGAAGGAAGAAATATTAATTGTTTAATCTCCTTTATAGCCTTCTCCTTGAATACAATCATTTTCTCTCACCACAAAGATGAAAAGCCCAGCAAAAACTGCTGAGGGATAACAGTGTCTGTATCAGTGAAAACAGACTTTGCAGGGAACCATAGTCACCTTGCTGTGAAAAAGCACCTTGTTCAGTGTCAGCTTACTGTACTACAAGACTTACTCTGCCCCTTACAAGTGAGTGCGTAACTTACAGTTACTTTCCAGGTGAGGAACTTGGGAGTATTACTCAAGCTTTTTGACTGGTGTGGTGGAGTTGTGCTATGCATTGAGAAGTCCATTAAATATCAACAGCTCAGAAGCCACAGGTACAGCAGTTTGGGCTGTAGGGCTCTTCACTTTTCTAACTCATCATATGAGTGGGTATGATCAACATTTTACCAGACACATCTTTTCCTTTTTCTCCTGGCAATTACATTAAAATAATAAAGAAAATCACTAATTGATATGTCTAGTACATTGCAGTAAAAAAATTACCTGGCAACATACAAATCCTTTGTGTAATTGGACAAACATACGTTTTAAATATACCCAATATTGGCTTAAATAGTATAGAACCATCACTGTTCTGTCTTTTCATCCAAATCTTTCTCAACTCCACATTCTGCTGCTATGACCTTACATCCATTTTTGGGCAAACTGTCAGCAGTTCCCCCCTTCTCATTTCCCTTCCTGCCTTCGCACACACCTGAGGGTCTATTCATAGCAGGCACTGCCTGTGGTGTCATCTCTTATTGTTTAAAGGGTGGCTACGCTATAAAAAAGACTCAGTGAAAATGATGTCATGCGGTCGTCTTTAATCCCTTTTAATGACTTCCACATCCACAGTTTTTAAGTCAAAAGATAATTTTGGGGGTTACT